GGACCCCATCCCTGCTTCTGCCACATAGTTCATATATGGATATAACTTTTTATGGATGGGGAAAACTGGTAAAACCTATTTTTTGCCATGGAATGTCCATTTTCTGTCCCCGGCTTTTGCATGAGCAGTAACATTGTGATGACAGACATAACCACTCATCACTCCTTCCCCTCCAGTTCCTTTGTATACTTAGGGGGAGTAACTTGTCCTGGTTGTCATGACAACAGCTGCCTTTGATAACTGATTTACCTCAGGCGTCCTGGTACATTATTACAAAGAAGGGTCTCTGGGGAGACTGTAGGGAAAGCAGCCTGACTTTGGCTGGGTGCCTGCTGTGCTCCTCTGACTTTGTACTGTGGTAACTTACACCGTTTCTTTTCTAAGGGTAATTGTTACTTTTCTTTTTTTTAAAAAGGGTTACATGAAAAGTCCAGCTCATTTTCAATTATATTTGTTTATTTGCTTCTTACAAAGTTGGGGCTGTGGCTTTTGTGAATATTTACCTTTTCAAAAAAGCAAGAAATTATAGCTGAGTCGCTACTCAAATTTTCTGTTTCACAGTTTCAAAAAAGTAGTTTCCAGTTTGCAGTAAAACTGAAGTTTCATTAAACATGTTTTGTTCTACTACAGTATAATTTAAATATTTTCAATACGTTGGTCAACATGACATTGAGTGGTGAAATATGGAGCTTCATAAAGATAACAATGGCAATAAAATATACTTTGAAGACAACGTTGGTCCGTAAACAACACTATGACAGGGTCTACCAGGCATTTGCTACCCCCATCAGAGACCACACTGCCTTGTTGCACCTTCCCTCCAGGAAGGTATCCTGCTAGAAGGAAAGAACAACAAGTTCAGACTTTAAGTATTGCCTAGTGAGGCCTCCCATGATCAGCTGCAGGCAGAACCAGCAAGAACTGACCCTCCATCATCTAGAAAGGCCGGAAGCAGACAGAGACCAATCCAGACAAAGACCAGCAGGCCAGATAAAAATGGCTAGCTGCTTCTATTGGGGCCAATTTTGAGTGAAGCCAGGATAGGGAATGAAGACTTTCATTGAACTAATCAAGTTATCCGGCCTGGTCAGGGGCCTAACCTTGAAAATATTTGCTTTCAGTCTCTGTAAAGAACTATTGCTTATATTAAGGACTTTAATGCCCAGTGGCTACTTTGAGTTCAGTGTTAATTTGTTATTTTGTAAACCTCTGGTGAACCAGCTCCATGTAGCACCAGGCTCTGGTGAGCTCTTGCCAAGCACTTAAGGGGAAAACATTCTGCCTATTAAAACAAACAAACAAAAAACAACAAGGAAATTCACCAGCAAAAACTTCATTTAATGTTAGTTAAGGCTGTTTTCATCAATAAACTAAGACATACAAAATTAGGAAATACAAAGTTAAGTATTAAATAGGACTTCAGTAATGGAGTGGAGAGTATGCTTATAAAATTTGTTGCTGGCAGCAAGCTGGGAGGGATTGCAAGCACTTTAGAGGAAAGGATTAGAATTCAAAAGGAAGAATTGTTCCGAAATCAATAAAATGAAATCAAGAAAGACATATACTTAGGAATGAAAAATCAAATGCACAAATGCATAATGGGGAATAACTGGCTAGGCAGCAGTACTGCAGAAAAGGAACTGGGAGATACAGTGGGTCACAGATTTAATATAAGTCAATAACATGAGTCAGTTGCAGAAAAGGCTAGTCTTTTGGAGTTTATTAACAGGAGTGTCATAGCTAAGACACGAGATAATTGTCCCATTCTACTTGGCACTGGTGATATCTCAACTAGAGTATTGTCCAGTTTTAGGTAACAAATTTTAAGAAATATGTTGACAAATGGGGGAAAGTTCAGAGGAGAGCAAAAAAAAGAGTTAGAAAACATGATTTCTGAAGAAAGGTTAAAAAAATTGGGTATGTTTAGGTTTGAGAAAAGAAGACTGAGGGGGGTACCTGATAAGTGTTCCCTGACTTCTTTATAACAGCTCTTAATATTTTTGATCAGTTGTTCTTCATGTCCACTGAAGGTAGGACAAGAAGTACTCAGGTCAATCTTTAGTAAGAGTCATTTAGGTTCAATATTAGAAAGTTTTTCCTAACTGTAAGGATAGTTATGTACTTGAACAAGTTACCAAGGGAGATTGTGGAATTCCTGTCACTGGAGGGTTTTAACAACAGTTTAGACAAACACCTGTCAGGGATGGTCTAGGTATACTTGGTATTGCATAGGTGTGAGGGAATGGACTAGATGATCTCTTGAGGTCTCTTCCTGCACTACATTTTTATGATTCTTTGAAAAGTCTGTGAAGTCAAGTACTTTCAACTAAGAAAATGTCAGAATGAACATTGCCCATACAATGATTGTTTGGAGCTCTTGTACACATGCATTATGATACAGCCTTTAATTACATGAGCTCTTTTTTTTTTTCATAAGACCTCTGGTTCATTTAGTGCCTAGGAAGCGCCTACTCTGGGGATGAATTGAGGTTGCTAAAGGGAAGTTATCATTGTACAAGGGCCCTTATGTTTAAGGCTTTTCCTACACTCACCTTTATGTCTTCCACATACTGTAATAGTATTAGCACCCAGTTTTGAAATACGGTGTAACGTGAGAAGTCACACTTTTAAATAAAGGATTTATCCTAGCAGTAATAGAATTTTCTTCTACTGCAGAAAGATGATCTATTAGTCTAAACATATCCATGCATATTACGTAAATAAAGTTAATCAGAAGCTGCATTTTATAATTTGTTTAGCCTTGCAATAAGCAAGGTGAAGAGTAATTTATGTAGAGTTATCTGTGCTTAACAGACATTGACCATTGACAGTAAATTCACAAATAAAGGACTTTCTTTAGATTTAATATTTTTTATGCCATCTCTTCAATGGAGGAGGAGATTTAGCTGTAGCTGCCTCAGAGAACTAAGTGGTTGTAGGGGCCAGTTTACATCATTACCACCTCTGACATTACATCCTACCGGAAAAGTTCAGAAATCCCAATACTTGACATTGATTGTGTCTCCTTAGAAAAATCACCTCTCTATATAAATCTTTAAAGGATCTGTTGAGGTGCTATTTCACCCTTTAGTTGGCAAATGCATAGATATATGCTGAGCTAAATACCATCCAAAATGCTTTTATTGGTTCTTTTAAACTAGAAGTTAGGAAAGGATTAACTTTGCTGCCAGGACTAATTGTGGCATTGCTAAATGCAGTACAGGAATCATTATTTTCTTTGGTACCTACACAGGTATTGATATTAGCATCTAGTTACATTACTTTTATGGCATTGTAGCTACCTTTGATCATTCACTCTTTATGGAGATTATAGACTCCGATTGTGAGGCTGTCGCAATAGCTGGAAATAATGAAAAATGTCCAAGACAGCCCTAATATAGATTATTTATACTGGAAGAAGAAAAGAATTGTTCCTTTCAATCAGTGGAGAATATGACAGTTATTTCAACGCATTTGTAACATCCAGTGACAACATTTAAAGTAGTAGGACTTGATCCTAATAGGCTTCCCTAAACTTTCTTCCTCTTGTTTCCGTTCTTTTGTACCAAACTGATTCAGCATTGTGCTTTTTTTCTATTGGCAGATTTTCTTTTGTAATAGAAAATGTATCTATTTGTATGTATATACACTGTTGGACTATCATATATATACACAGAGGTATATGTACATATATAATCAGGTTATATAAATATAGAGAAACAAATTTCTTTTTAAGAAAGTTTAATGAAAATGCTTCATACCATTTTTCAGAGTGAGATAGAGTTTCAACTAGGTCCACATAAAATGGAGTTGCTAATGTGCTAACGGTATATTTCAAATACTATGGTTCAGAGTCTCAGCTGGTGTACATTGGTGTAGCTCCACTGACATCAATCAGAGTCTGTCTCTGTATCTTGAAATATTACAGATTGTAGGAAGTCTGTATTCATGATGTTTTAAGTAATTGAGTAGGGAAAATACATGCGTGTCTTTCTTTTGGACTAGAGCAATACAATTTTGATTGGTAAACTGTGTCAAATTGCTTTAGAGAAATAAATTTCATAAGACTACTTGCACCCTTACATACTGTATGTGTTGTCTTAAATATATAATATGACATAATTGTTAGACAAAATAAACTAGGAGTAAAATTTTATACAGTAAGTGTTGGCCAATAACGTAAAAATATCAACTACTAATTTCAAATGTTAATAATAATCCAACCACTTTGCACTAGCAGAAATAGTTTGAAGGGAAAGAAATGAGAATACTGCTATATTAAAAGTGTGAAGCTGACACACACAGTACCCTCTAAAGTATCTCAAGGCTTTTTTCCATGTCTTCTATGCTCCGATGATTTTTTCATTATGTGCTGTCAGATGAAAGGCGTTTCTAATTTTCACAGATTACATTAATTGAATTTGCAGTGCACATCTTTTACATTTAGCAACTCACCAGTGTAGTGCTATAGAATTATTAAAATACTGTAGATTATAGCAATTTAAAAGCTATCAAACTGTATTGTGTCTGGCCCTTTTAAACCACTTGCAAAGATAGTTCAAAATGTTTACATAGGTGTGGTGATAATGAAGTGGACATTCGTTGTGGTGCTTCTAATATCATGTGGAATGTATCCCAACATTGAAAAAGCAATAGTACAACAATTCAAAGTATATAATATATGATATCTGTGTAATCGTTTTTCCACTTAATATAAGCAAAGTGTGTATTCATCATATTGAATGCACTATGACACTTTAGCAGTTGATGCTTGAAAATGTAAGCTGGTGGTTTGCACACATGCAAACCCACCTCTATTCAGCAAAACACTTAAGCACATGTTTAAGTCCCATTGACCTTAATTGGACTTAAGCACATATTTAGTTATTCATGTGAGTAAGTGCATTGCTGGATTGGGGACACACAGAGAGAAATTGTTAAAAGATGTTAAATAGTAATTGTATATGTAACAGTTTTGTTTTCTATAATGTTTGTTTCAGGCTGATAAGAAAGAAAAGAGTAATGCCCTGAATATTGCAATAGATAATATGTGCAAGACGACAAGAAACCTTCGCAGACAGGTAAAGAGCTTGGGGACAAAAAGATGGGAAAGCAGATTTATCTAAATATTATTTTTCCTGCTTTTGATATCATTATAATTTTTAAAAAAGAGAGGACTTCTCATTCAGAGTATTTATAATGTTGTCATCACCCTGCAAAGATCTAAGATTATGAATAAGGCCCCAGAAGTGGATCTGGGTGCATATATACTGTGACAAAGTTCTGTCCTTGACTCCGTGGGTTCTGCATTTCCTGACAGATTTTTGCTAGCCTCAGAGGCTCACTGTGACCCTCCACATAGCCCTTCTCTCTCTAGAGGCAAGGGTCACAGTCTACTGAGCCATTTTTATCATAAGCCAGCAAGGGAGGTGAGGAGAAACAACCCTCCCTCACACAGTCTCTGTTGTCTCCCAGTATCAGTGATTAATCAGGGAGGGGAGGGGGAGCCCGGGCCCGCCCTCTACTCCGGGCTCCAGCCCAGGGACCCTAAACTTAGCAGCTATGAAAGCTGACTTTTTGAAAATAGGGCATGTACAATTCCCTGGGCTACTTCCCCACAGCAGCCCCCACTCAATATCTTCTTCACAATTACCTCAAGGCCTCCTTCCTTGCACCTGATATGGATTCATACTACTTCATTCCTCCAACAGCACAGCTCCCTCCTATAGCTCCTGACACCCACACCTCACTGACTAACTGGGAGGCTTTTAACTAGTTCCAGCCAGTCCTTGATTGGCTTCAGGTGTCCCAATCAATCTAGCTGTCTCTCCTGCCTTCTAGAAGGATCTTAATTGGTCCCAGGTGTCTTGATTAACCTGGAGCAACTGCCATTTGGTTACTATGGTACCAGGGATTTGTTTAGTCTGGGGCTAACATACCTGTTCCTCACTACTTTACTGTAGCCATCTGGCTTGTCTCATTACATATCCCCCCCCCCTCTGCTCAACACCATAGAGTTGGGCAACTTGGGATGCCAGGCAATGTGCTTGTGACAGACAATCAGCATTGCCATGGTGGCATCCAGCCCTGTGCCGTATGCAGAACTGGAACGGTTGGAGGGATAAGAACCACCTGGTGACCCTTGCGTTCTTTTCCTTATTCCGCTGTATCCACTGGAGGGGTGCATGGTCCATCGCAAGAGTAAATTGCCGGCCTAAGAAGTAATAGTGCAGTGTCTCCATGGCCCATTTGATAGCAAGGCATTCTCTCTCAACTACGCGTATTTCTGTTCTCTTGGGAGAAGCTTTCTGCTTAGGTAGAGGATTGGATTCCTCTTCTCTCACCATTTGCGACAGAACTGCTCCCAACCCCACCTCGGAAGCATCTGTTTGTAAGATAAATCCCTTGTTAAAATCCAGGGTCATTACAGAGTGCCGTCCGAAGGTCTATGAATGTCCACTCTGCTGCATCGGTCCACTTCACCATGTCTGGACCTCGGGCCTTCACCAGGTCTGTTAGGGGACTTGCCCTAGTGGCGAAATGGGGAATAAAACGTCGGTAGTAGCCTACCATGCCTAGGAACGCACGTACCTGCTTCTTTCGTGTCAGCTGGGGCCAGTTTTCAATCGCCTCTAGCTTATTCATTCGGGGCTTCACTATGCCCCTCCCTACAATATATCCCAGGTAGCTAGCCTCTGCTACCCTATGGCGCATTTAGCGGGATTAGCAGTGAGGCCAGCCCACCTTATGGTGCGCAGTACTGCCTCAACTTTCTCCAAGTGGGTTCCCCAGTCTGGCATATGGATGATGACATCATCTAAGTATGCGGCTGCATAACTAGTATGGGGGCACAGCAGCTTATCCATGAGGCACTGGAATGTGGCCAGGGCCCCATGTAGCCCAAAAGGGAGGATGGTGTACTGGAATAGCCCGTCCGGGGTGGAGAACGCTGTCTTTTCTTTAGCTTCTTTGGTCAGGGGAATCTGCCAATACCCTTTTGTCAGATCCAGTGTAGTCAAAAATCGAGCACCACCCAGTCGGTCAACCAGTTCGTCGATGCGTGGTATGGGATATGCATCGAATTGGGATACTTCATTCAGTCGGCGAAAGTCATTACAGAATCTCATGGTACCGTCAGCTTTAGGCACTAGAACAATTGGACTGCACCACTGACTGTAAGATTCTTCAATAACACCTAATTCTAACATTTTCTTTACTCCAGCCTTGATTTCTTCTCTTTTAGCTGCTGGGATTCAGTAGGGTCTCAATGTTACTTTGGCTCCAGGGATCGTGCAGATATGGTGATAGGTCTCAGACGTCCGGCCTGGTTTTGTAGAGAACACATCTTGGTTGCGATTAATCATGTCGGCTGCCTCGATCTTTTGGATCGGCGTCAAGTCGGGTGATATCCTCACTTGCTCATGTAAGTTATCCTCCTGGGGAAGGGTCTCCTGGGTGACTAAGCATGCCTCTCGATCATGCCAAGGTTTTAGAAGATTGATGTGGTAAATTTGCTCCGGTTTCCTGCGGCATGGCTGCTGCACCTTATAGTTTATCTCTCCCATGGCTTCGATCACTTTGTAGGGTCCCTGCCACTGGGCCAACAGCTTATTTTCTGCTGTGGGCACCAGGACCATCACTCGATCCCCTGGTTGGAACCGTCGAAGCTTTGCTTGGCGGTTATAATGGGTTCGTTGGGTTTCCTGTGCTTTCTCCAAGTGTTCCCGTACAATGGGTGTAACTTGGGCTATCCGACCCCTCATCTGTAGTACATGCTTGACTATGTTCCTTCCGAGATTTGGCTCCTCTTCCCAGGCTTCTCTGGCTATATCCAATATGTCCCGGGGGTGACGCCCGTATAGTAGTTCGAACAGAGAGAAACCTGTGGAGGCTTGTGGGTCTTCCCGTAAGGCAATAGAGTATCCCAATCTTTCTGATCCCAGCTCACCACTTTTCTGATCATGGCCTTGAGGGTCCTATTGAACCTTTCCACAAGGCCGTCTGTTTGTGGGTGGTATACAGAGGTCCGTAGGGCTTGTACATGGAGCAATGAACAGAGATCTTTTATCAACTTGGATACGAAAGGTGTCCCTTGATCAGTCAGTATCTCCTTGGGTAGCCCAACCCGGGAAAAGATCTGTACTAGCTCCTTAGCTATTGTCTTGGAAGCCGTGTTGCGTAGCGGGACGGTTTGCAGGTGTCGGGTTGCATAGTCTAGTACAACAAGCACATGTTGGTGGCCCCTAGATGTTTTCTCTAGGAGCCCAATCAGATCCATGGCTATGCGTTCAAATGGTACCTCTATTATTGGAAGAGGTATCAAAGGGGCCCTCAAGTGCGGGCGAGGACTATGTAGCTGACACTCTGGACAAGAGGTGCAGTAACGCCAAACATCTTCATGTACTCCTGGCCAGAAGAACCTCCGCAGGATCCATGCCTGGGTTTTCTCTACCCCTAGGTGTCCTCCAAACAGGTGACTGTGTGCGAGGCTCAGTATGGCTTTTTGATGTTTTCGTGGCACCAGAAGTTGATGCATCTCCTGCTCCTGCATTTGCACCATGTGATACAGGAGATCTTTCTTCACATAAAGTAAGGTCCTGGACCCCGGACCTTCCCCTCCACTGGTATCCCATCTATCTCAGCCACCTCTTTCCTGACGTTATCATATCTAGGGTCCTCTGCCTGGTATCGCCCGAAAGTCTCTCTCCCGGGACTAACCTGTCTGAGCTCCCAGGGACCAGCTTCTGCTTTTTCCAACGGCTCACTGCTGTCATGGCAGGGGCCAGCCTCTGGCTCATCTTCCATGGTGGGAGTTTCTCTGATGGCTGCTCGTGTCCCTCTGCCTGCTAGGGTGGTCTTCTGGCCCTGGGTCAGGATCCGGGTTCCCAAGGCCTTCACAGCCTTCCTCTCTTTTTTTGTCTTCCGGGCCTTTTGGGGGGCTGGGAATAGATCCTGAGAAATCTCAGTGAACGTTGGGGGTTGACATTCCCCCAATGATGAGTTGCTGCCATCAGGGTCCCCACTTCCCTCCAATCTCTCCGTGGGGAGTAAATTATCAAACCCTGGATAGTCCCTCCCAATGACTACAGGATATGGAAGTTTAGGAACCACACCCACTGTCACCTCAATGGGGTTCCCCTGAACCTCTGTCTCCACTGGGATGGTGGGGTAATGGCTCACGGCCCTATGCACACACGTCACTGCTACATGTTTGGCTTGTAGCAGCTGGCTACTTTTTACCTGCTTACCCAATATAAGGGTGATAGCACTCCCCGAGTCCACAAGCGCTGTAGTCTCTGCTCCATTTATCTTCACCGGCCTGGTGTAGTTATGTGGGGCTAATGCGACAGTGCAAGGTGGATAAGGGAGCACAGGATCTCCCAATCCCCCAAGTTGCATTGCATAGACTCCTCAGTGCTGGGACACTGTGCTGCTATGTGTCCCCACTCCCCACATGCATAACATCTATAATTGTTTCTAATCACTCCCCTATCACGGAGGTTAGGGGGTTTAGTCCCAGGGTTCCCCCCACTCAGGCCAATCCCTTCCTTCTGAGGTCCCCGCTGGTTTTCAGCCCCTGCCTTCCTCCACCTAGGACTCCCCAGGGGTTTGGCTGTCCCACCTTCCAGGGTTGGGGTCGGGTGCTTGCTTCGAAAGGGGCCTTCCTTGGGTAGTCGGGTCAGTTCCCTGGCTGTCATGTGTCTTTCTACCAGCATGATCATCTCATCATAGGTGGATGGATCGTTCTGGCCTACCCATTTGCAGAGATCTGGTGGCAGTCCTCGCATGTAATGGTCCATGACCAGGGTTTCCAAAATCTCCTCCGGGCTGTAACCACTTCCACGCGAGGTGTATGAGGTTGAATAGCGGGGACCTCAGGGGTTTGTTCTCCTGGTACTTCCACTCCATGAACCTCTGGGACCTTACCGCTGCTGTCACCCCTGATCGTGCTAGGATCTCTGCCTTCAGTTGGGTGTAGTCAGTGGCATCCGTGGCAGACAAGTCAAAGTAGGCCTTTTGGGCCTCTCCGCACAAAAAAGGGGCGAGAATGCTGGCCCACTGCTCCTGGGGCCACGTCTCA